GTCCTTTTCAAACTTTCATTAAAATTTCACTTATTACATCTTTTTGTAGATTACTACTCAAAATGTATTTAACTCTATGATATGAAAAGGAAATCCGAGGTTGGTACATTGTTACCTCAATTGAAACTCCTTATTGAGAAATTCTTCCAAGCACTAATTGTGCCAATCTGCAATGACAATGGCGGTGAATACCAAGAGCTTCCATTATTTATACAAGCCCATGACATATCTCACTTAACCACCCCACCACATACTACTAAACAGAACGGTGTCAGCGAACAACGACATCAGGATGTGGTTGAGATGTCACTTTTTCTCCTTCACTATACTAAATCACCACTCACCTTTTGGTGTCATGCTTTTCAAACCGCCATCTATCTTATAACCAACCACTAAACTATGCCAAACTGAAATCTTTTGGTTTTCTTTCCTATCCATGTTCAAGGCCTTACACCAACTCCAAGCTATAACCATGATCAACCCTATGTCTTTCCAAGGTTAATCTACCTTAAAATCCTCTTACAAATTTTTTGACCCTACCACTCGCTACCTATACCAGTCTCATCATATTAAGTTTATTTTATCTCATCTTTATTTTCATTCCTCTTCCCCTATCTTACCCACTGCCCATGATTTTTTTTTCAATATCTCACCAACCACTCATGCATCAAAATCCTTTTCACCAATCGATTCATCAAAACTATTTTCATCTTAGCGACCCATACACCTCATGTTCTGCCACACCAAATACCATGTCTAGATTCACCATCCCACCCTCTTACCCCTACCTCTCAAGCCACCTAACCACTATCAGATACCTCTCATCACCCTATACAACCTTTTAATCCACATACCCCTCCATCCATATTGTAAACTCATATATCCAATCTTGTTTCAAATCCCACCAAGTCTTGTCCTTTCCTAACTGTCTCCATTTCTTAGATGATAATTCCATTTCTCCACCCACCTCCCCTCCACCATAACAAACTAGAAATTAAAAACCAAAATAGTTTAGTTCGTCTTTCATTAACTCCACAACACTTCATCTTATCCCTTCCACCATTAAACCAAACACCCACACTCAAGCTCTCAAAGATCCCAAATGACAACATGGCATTGATTAAGAGTTCAATGCCCTAATGTAAAATGGAACTTAGGAATTACTTCCAAAGGCTTCTTTCAATATAATTGGATGCAAATGGGTATTCCGAGTCAAATGGAATCCCAATGGTATTATTTCAAAATACAATGCTTATTGGGTTGTCAAGGGGTTCCTTCAACAATACAGGAAGGATTTTTTCGACACATTTAGTCCAGTAATGAGTCATTCTCTCTATTTCTCTCTCACTCATGGAACTCAACATAAAGAAGTCATCATGTCTCAACCACCCGGATTATATCATCCCCAATTCCCAAACTGCATATGCAAGATTAAAATGTTTCTATATGGTCTTAAACAAGCACTGAGAGCACGGTACATGGGACACACATCTTTTCTTCATAATTATGTTTTACGAAGTCACATGTTGATGCCTCTTAATCTATCTATAATCATGACAACATTTTACCTTTCTTTATGGCTTGTGTCGATGACATTGTACTTACATACAACAATACCAATTTTTTAAATCAATTCAATCATTTCTTAACCAAGAGGTTCCCCGTCAAAGACTTACGTCCCCTCCATCACCTCCTTAATATTGAAGTAATTCCTACCCAATAAGGTCTTTTCCAATCTATTATATAATTCTCAGATAAAATATGTTACCTTGGATTACCACATTATATGTGAAAAGGTATCACGGGTTTGTTATAAATACTTTATATCAACTCAGCAGATCAATTGGCAGACACACTCATGACTCCTTCATCCATCTTCACTCCAATATTGGAGTATCTGAGAGATCCTACTTATTGTGAAGTGTATTATGACTAATAGCACAATGGGTCAAACCATTTAAATTATTTTATTTATGGTTATTATTAACTTTAGATCCAATAATTTCTCTCTAGATAGCTCATTTAACTTCTCCTTTCCACTTTGATATAGCATAAAATCTTCTAGTCTTTATGAACTATTGACACAATTATGAAATAGATGCCAACCTTTTATTATTTTAAAGTAGAATGAGATCAACCTTGTAATATTATTGGTGTGTATTTGAATGTACTTTATCATAGTCACTGAAATCTTCATGAAAAACTTTCAAACAAATTACAACATATCAATGTTTAGAAAGTCTCACTAAAACTTCAAGGATTTATATTTTCTGAAATATCAAGTAGCTCGAATGAGCTATCATTGAACAGAATTGTCCAGTTCTGTTAACTCATAACTAATATTGCTTTGTAAAAAAAAATGTCCACTATGTAATGATATGATCTTGTCTAGGGGTGTTAATGAGTTGAGCTATTCAGGAGATACTCGGGATCGACTTGTTAAAAGCTCGACTCAAGATCAAATTAAACAAGCATGAGCCGAACCTGAACCTAAATATGAGGCTCGTTAATTAAACGAACTCGAGCCGAGCTTCGATCAGTGATCTTGCGAGCCTAAAACGAGCCTATATGTAATATATATCATTATTATTTATATATATTAAAATAAAAAAATATTTAAGGAATTAGTGATATAAGGTATTAGTAAACGAACTTTTTAACGAGTTTGAACCGAACCTATGCTTATTTAGGCATATCATACAAAAAAACAAGTTGATCTCATTCCCGAGCTGGGCTTGTATAATTTTTCACGAGCTCGAGACCCTCATAACTTAAACGAGCTCGAGCCGAGCCTGACCAGGGGTTTGGCTCGGCTCCTGTACGATCCTAATCTTGTGATATCAAAAAATGAAAAATACCACAATTCTACAACATTTTCTTTTAAATGACCCTAATATTTGGACAAAACTCGATCTTGTCATATCCAAAAACACGAAGAGAAAGCATGTGGAGGCTTGTTGTAATATGAAAAATAGAAAACTATAAGTTTGATAATAACATCCAATAAAAGAAAACATGCATTGACAAATAAACAAGATCAAAAGGATGAATCCACCTTCTTCTGATTCTATCCTTATAAAATTAAGAATGAATATTTCATGATTAAATGATTGAATGAAATTCGCTTATCATTCAGGTTGACTAATGGGTTATTTAATTCACTTATTCACAACGCAGTTCATGAATCATACCCGAGTGAAAAACGATCATAGAAGACTCTTTTCATCGCCTCAAAGTGTATATAAAGCCTCCATTAACACTTCCATAAACACACAAAAACCTAACAAATTCCAAGAAGAGCAAAAAACAAAAACAAAGCCATGGCTCCTTCGACTTCCCAAGTATATCATCACCTCCTCTTCTTCTTTCTGGTGTTCCTCTTCCAAGCCCAGCAATGCCCGGCGGCAGGTGGATCGTGGTCTGTTCTCCTCCCAAGCATCGGCATTTCAGCCATGCACGCACAGTTACTTCCCAATGATCGTGTTGTCATGTATGACCGCACCGATTTTGGAGTCTCCAATATCTCACTTCCAAACGGGGCATGTCGTCCTAACACAACGGATTGTTCTGCCCATTCAGTCGAGTATGATGTTGCATCAAACACCGTTCGTCCACTCATGGTGCTCAGCAATGTCTGGTGTTCCTCTGGAACATTAATGCCCGATGGAAGATTGGTCCAAACTGGTGGCTTTGATGATGGTTATCGTGTTGTCAGAATTTATAAATCGTGTGATTCATGCGACTGGCAAGAAATACGTAATGGCCTGAATCAACAAAGATGGTATGCGACCAATCATATATTGCCAGATGGCAGACAAATTATTATTGGTGGCCGCCGGGCATTTAGCTATGAGTTCTACCCCAAGATGTCAGCCACTGAGAACACGCCTAGTTTACCTTTTTTGGTTCAAACGAACGACCCTAACGTTGAGAATAACTTATACCCATTTGTATTTCTCTATCCTGATGGGAATCTTTTCATTTTCGCCAACAATCGTGCTATTTTATTCGACTATTCCAACAACCAAGTTATCAAGACTTACCCTACAATGCCCGATGGTCAACCAAGGAGTTATCCAAGTACCGGATCTGCAGTGCTTCTCCCTCTGCGCATAACAAAGGGAACAGTAAATGCGGTAGAAGTATTGGTTTGTGGGGGTGCACCAAAAGGAGCATTTGTTAATGCAAATAAAGGGATATTTGATGGAGCTTTGGATACATGCGGAAGGATCAAAATATCTGACCCTAACCCTCAATGGGTCATGGAGACCATGCCTTTGGCTCGAGTCATGGGTGACATGTTGTTGCTTCCCAATGGTCACGTTTTGATCATCAATGGTGCATCTGCTGGAGTTGCAGGTTGGGAACTTGGGAGGAACCCTGTTCTTAGCCCGGTGGTTTACCAACCTGATAAACAGGTCGGGTCTCGATTTGAAGTGCAGAATCCAAGCACCATACCAAGAGTTTACCATTCCACAGCGGTTTTACTAGCAGATGGACGAGTTCTTATTGGTGGAAGTAACCCCCACGACAAATATGAATTCGGAAACGTCCTTTATCCCACTGAGCTGAGTTTGGAGGCGTACTCTCCTTCTTATTTGGATTCAAACTCGTCCGATTTACGCCCCAATATAATCTTGCCTGTAAAAAACACTAAAATAGGGTACGGAAAACAATTAGTTATTGTGTTTACAGTTTCAGGCATTGTGGATCCAAGCTCCGTCTCAGTGGCAATGATGGCAGCTCCGTTCAACACACACTCCTTTTCCATGAATCAAAGATTGCTGGTGCTCGATGGTGGCGTGGCTGCCAAGATTTTGGGGAAGTCAAGATATCAAGTTGTAGTAACAACACCGCCCTCTGGTAATGTTGCTCCGGCAGGGAAGTATCTTTTATATGTAGTTCACAAAGAGATCCCAAGTCCTGGTATTTGGGTTCAAATGCAGTGACAAAATACAGCATAACAGTTATTGTTTTCTTTTGTTTCGTTCATCTTTAATTGTACACTCATTTGTCAACCGATTTTTATCATAATTATAGAGACCATGTTATTTTACTTAGTTTATCTATTTGTCTTTTTGGCTATGTGACTATTCTATTCGTTTCGATATTTTACTAAGTTTATCCATTTCTCTTTTTGTCTATATGACTATTCTATTCATTTCGAAAGTTTTCACATAACACTTGTGATGGTATTATGGATTAGTTCTAGATGCAGCACGTCAAATTAATATGTGTAATTGGATTAGGAGTTCTAGTGATGCCCTGCAAAAGTTGTAATTTTTGTTTTCCACGTCTAGCGTTCAACAACTTTCTCACCCAAAAACGCTCATGAAATTTGAAAAAACTATTTTTGAAACATATAACATAAGCTTTTCCAAAAATCTTGCTACAAATCGATGGTTCTTGTTGAGAGTAACTATTGTTTCAAGATTAACATTGAGAGATATTAGTGTTATCTTAATTATTAACTTAAATCAAAGGAACTTCGATGACACTCACGGAATACAACTTCTGAAAAACTGAAATCAAAGGAACATAATATTGAGTGTGCTTCGGTACGGGTGACCTATGTCAACGAGAGAGAGAGAGAGAGAGAGAGAGAGAGAGAGAGAGAGAGAGAGAGAGAGAGAGAGAGAGAGAGAGAGAGAGAGAGAGAGAGAGAGAGAGACTTTTAGGAACAATTACAAACACTTAAGTTGTATCTCACTTTTTCTCTCACAAAAAACTACAACTTACAATGATGGAAATATGTAACTATTTATAAGCAAGCGTGGGAAACCATAATTTTGATGGGCTAGACTTATCCATATTTAGCCCATAAATGGGATGCCCTAATTTTGTCTTGTCTCTTTACTATACCTGACACTTGCTAATATGTATTTATGTGTTTGTTGTCTTTGTGACTCTTGTTGATATACATTGTGTTTGTGGGGTGAAATAGAATCGATGGTGAAATAGACTCGTTCGGTTGAAAAACACAAATGGAGTTGAAATAGACTCAGGGGTGAAATAGACCCGTTCGGTTGAAAAACACTGATTGAGTTGAAATATAGACCCGGGTTGAAATAGACTCATGTGGGTGAAATAGACCTGTTACAGCTTCGCGCTGATATGTATGTATGGTATGCGGTATTTTGGTGAACTCACTAAGCTTTGTGCTTGCGGTTTATGTTTAAAATGTTTACAAATACTTCTGGTTTCCAAAGGAAGGGTCAGGATTGATTGCACTCCATCCCTTGGAGATTTAGTCCGCATTGAGTGTTTATGATTTTACTATAATGTTTTGATAATACATTTACTCTAATCATCTTTTGGAATGATGAATGAATTGTTTTGACTTATTTAAAATGAAATTTTACTCGATAAATTTGGGTGTTACAAGTTGGTATCAGAGCCTGAGTTTGAGGGATTTGGGCATACTCTTGGGTGTGTCTTAACTAAAACTGAGGAAATGATAATTTTTTTAAAAAAAAAAAAAGGAAAATGAGTATCAAAAACGTTTAATAAAGAAAAGGGGTACAATGCGTGCAATCTGCCGAGCTCAAGTAAGTGGTTACCAAAATACCTATACTTCTTGATATGTTATATGTGTTATAGTATGATATATATATATATATATATATATATATATATATATATATATATATATATATATATATATATATATATACATATATATATATACTAGAAGTTGGAAAAAGGATATGCTCAGGGTTGCATGCTAGAATGTCTGCTTAGGAGACATGCCTTTTATGCCTGATAACGAGTAGGTTAAGGATACCTTCAGGAATTGCATGATAGAATGACCTGATTTGTGATGCCTTGTAGCCTAGAAGGAATTCAATGTTATGTCAGATTTGGAATCTATGTATACAACTAGGATCATATAGCCCTAGAAGAACTGATTTAGCCTTATTTTCTATTCCTTGACTGGTTTTGGGCTTAGGGTAGAATTATTCATTCGACAGTCTATGTGTTATCGTTTTATGTATAATTTGCATGCATAACGTAACCAACAGTAATGGTAGAAGTTCCTAGCATCACATAAACAAGTTAGTTAGAGGATGCCTTTTTATGTTTTGTGGACATATTACTTCCCGAATGCTACTTGCTTTGTGCTTTGTGGTAGCCATATTGATGTGACCTAACTATTAAATGAATATGTTAAGTTACATGATGCAAAGGGTAAATAATTTTAGAATGACTAATTTGGCCCTATTGCACAACTTGCGTTTTAGTCTAACCATTGTAGGGTTGGGTCTTTTATTTGAAAGATTATTTATGTTTTGTTGCATGTAATTGTATTCATGAAGTAGTTAGTTGGTATTAGTAGGGTTTTTTAGCAGCTGATAGCGGGGGATGTGAGAATCCTAGGAGATCCTAGGAAGTGCCTTAGAGAAGTTAGTGTGTTGTTTAGCGGTGTGTATTTGTTTGAGAACGGGTATATGTGGTTGGATCAGATCGTAGTAGACATGAGTAGTTACTTAGAGGATCCATAAGGATTCTTGAGGAAAGTAAGGATAAGTGTTGAACGTAGTATTGAACCTGTACTACTGAAAGCACAAGATCCGTACTCAAATCGAGGAATATTTCGGGAATTCTAAGGAGCTAATTGAGGGTAGATTTTATGAGTAGTTACTTAGAGGATCCACAAGTTCTGTTTATGCTTATTTGATTTATTGGTTATGATTGTTCTGGCTGAGGATGGGTGTGGTGTGTGACATCCCCATTTTTACGGCCAAAAAAGACCGATTTGTTTATGTTTTATTTTCTAGTCAAAGTAACTTCTTAACGAAAAGTGTTGTGGAATTCGTCACCAGAAAAACATGATAAATATGTTATCAAGGCATTTGCGAACAAATGTATTTTATTCATTTTAAAACTTTGGGATGTCATCTGCAATACAGAAACATAAGCATAAACAGAACTTACATTCATTTACATTTGTGATCTACATCTCTTAAAATCTCTCGGTATAGTGTAACTTTATATCGACTCCTGTAATACAAATAAACTGAGTGGGTCAGGTTGGGAAACCTGGTGAGTACATAGGGTTTTCAAACCACAATAATAAATTTATTGTGCTTTATATCAACAATTAAACCAATTACCCATCCCCATTATGTTCTTTATTTCTTAAGGATCTACCCTAAGAATCAGCTACTCTTTATTCAACCATTCCTATGGAATAGGTACGAAGTCCATCATCGGTAGGGTTTATACAACGGGTGCTAAGTCCATAGCTCTCATTTATCGACAGAATTATTTATGGGAGTCCACCTGCAATACATGTCAATGGGTTTTTATAGTACACCGGGTGAACATATCATTCACAACACCTACAGGTTGCGAGCCTGCTATTGTTCCACAGACCGTCTAGAATAGTCCATGGTTGTCATTCATACTCTGCTAGATGATGGGGCCAACGCTTAGGTAAAGGTTTCTCTCATTTTTCACCCCTCACCTTCATCTCATGATCTATATCACTTTTTCATCTCATCCTCCAACTCATTTTTCATCACACACCAACTATTTCATCTACCCATGTTCTACCCAACATATATGTAGATATAAAATACATATAGAGTTCAGATATGAAGAAAAATTTTAGATCTGAAAAGAAAATATATATTTGGTTCAGATCTAAGAAATTTTTTAGATCTAGAAAGAAAATACACACACGGTTCAAATCTGAAGAAAAAAAAGGTCTAGATCTGAAAAACAAAGTTTAAATCTTTCATCTGGCATAGATCTCAAGCATAAAATACATATACGGTTTAGATATGAAAAGAAAAGGTTCATATCTGAAAAGAAAAAGTTTGGATCTTCCATCCATCACAAATCTTAGATAATATGTACACATAGCACTTACTTTGTATAAAATATTACATACCTATGTGTAAGATGAATGTAACTATGCACCCACTTGATAAGATGCTGATTCCAACTTGAACAATGCTTCACTTCTTAAAAATATTATTTCCTTTGATGAAACCGGGAGTTTTGCTTGAAAATCAGGCTCTGCGGGGGCAGAGTTTCAAAACCGAAAAACTCTTCTGTTCGGAGCCTTTAGGTGCCTCGGGGCTTTCTTCTAGTGCTAGGGAGGTTTCTTAGGCTTCGGGGTGGTTTAGGGTGGCTAGAGAGAGAGTAGATAGTGAAAGAAGTGAAGAATGTGTAAAGGAAATGAGTTGCCCTCGCAGCACTTTTATAGGTTGGAGGCCTCGCTCTATGTGGGGCGTAGTCTTGCAGAATGCGGGGCGTAGTAGGGTGCGTGTCACAATTTGGATGGGCCATCGTGGCATACTTCGGACCGCAAAAGAAAAAGGACTGCGTAGCATATGGGCTTCGTACACAGGGCGTACCCTCGTACGCGAGATGTTCCCTTCGGATAAGCTTTGAAATGTGTGCCTCTAACTTCAAAAATTCATAATTTTCTTATACCAGCTCCATTTTTTACATTATTTATATCCAAGCATATGTAAGATCGTACTCTAGAACTTTCGTTTAGACTCCGTCGGCTAATTTTTGCTTTATTTTTAAAGTTATATTTTTAATAGACCGGGAGAAGAAAAGTCCGTTAAAAATTCATAACTTCTTCATACGACGTCCATTTTCATTTGTCTTTTTACCGTTGAACTACTATTGACGAGATCTTCGATTCTCGTTTAGGTTGTCTCGGCTAAAAATCGCTATATCAATAATTTGATTTTCGGGCTGCACACAGTTATGCCAAGTCTTAGAAAATTCATAACTTACTCATACGAAGTCAGATTTTGACATTCTTTTTATGCATACTCTCGGTTTAACGTACACTATGACTTTCATTTAGACCGCTAAGGCTAAAAAGCATTGTATCGTAAATTCACTTTTTATGTAACGCAATGTCGTGTCGGTTCTGTCGCGAAACTTCGACAGGTCATAACTTGTTCGCTATAATTCGGATTCC